CATCCGTGACTTTTGTGAAAGGATAGACCGCTTGGAACAGAGCGTGCGCGATACCACTGGACACGTCGTCGTGGGTGGGGACTTTAATGCTAGGGCTATCGGAGTGGGGAATGACCCTCACCAACTCCCGTGGCAAGTATATTCTGGACTTTGCTGCCAGAGCCGGACTTGTTGTCGTCAACGAGGGCAACACGCCAACTTTCCACCGCCCAAGGATGCAGGGGATGATCCCAGATATTACCCTTGCATCTGAGTCCCTTTTGCCAAGGATCAGAGCCTGGAGAGTCCTGGAGGATTACACGGCCAGTGACCACCAGTACATAATTTTTGACGTTCTGGATGGTCATCAGAGACAAGTAGCCGCGTTTCGTCAAGTACCCGTTCGATGGAACATTGAAAAACTGGACCTTGCAAAATTCAACGGAGCCATCCTACGAAGAACGCCGGTGGTTTATCCCGCAACTGGCGTGGCTCACGCAGACACGATGGGACTGATTGTCTCTGCCTGTGATGAGTCTATGCCTCGCAGGAGATACCGGTGCAATAAGCGACCTGTGCACTGGTGGACTGCCGAGATTGCGGAATTGCGTCGAGCAGCATTGAGAGCCAGAAGACTTGCTACCAGGACTAGAGAACACCTAGACAGACGTCGTAAGTCGGATGCTTATAAGGTAGCTAGGAGGTCTCTTCATCGAGCCACCAATCGGAGTAAACGCAGTTGCTGGGAGATATTAAGGGACGATGTCGATTACAACCCGTGGGGCCTGGGTTACAAAATTGAAGACAAGAAACTTGGCACCCACTCTCCACCTTCCGTCATGGACAGGGTCACTATGGAGAGGATAGTCAAGTCCCTTTTCCCGGCTCACACATTGCGCCCCCTGCGGGATTTCGGAAGGAAGTACGACGTGCCACTTTTCAGCCCTGAAGAGCTGGAGGCGACCGTCCTATCCCTGAAGAACAATAAGGCTCCTGGACCTAATGGGGTACCCGGCGAAGTCCTCAAGAAGGTTTTTGACAACTAACCCCTTGATCCTTTTGCGCACGTACAACGCCTGCCTAGCCGAAGGAGTCTTCCCCTCATGCTGGAGGAAAACAGCTAGGCTTGTGCTTGTTGGGAAGGGGAAGGGAGACCTAGACCTGCCATCCTTCTACAGACCTCTGTGTATGTTGGATACGGCTGGCAAAGTCCTCGAGAAGATGATCCATTCCCGGCTGAATTCAGCCATGGTCGCTGCGGGGGACCTGTCCCCTCGACAGTATGGATTCAGGTTGGGGCGATATACTTTTGACGCTGTTGAGGAGGTGAAGCAAGCCGTGATGAGAGCTGAGGATTTTAACCACTACTCTCGTAAGGTTGTGCTGCTCGTGACACTCGATGTGCGAAACGCATTTAATTCAGCGAGGTGGTGCGATATGCTGGATGCTCTAGAGAACACCTTCCACGTTCCGGCATACCTCATGCGTATCATAGAGGATTATCTCCGGTTTTGCCTCCTCATGTATGACACTACACGAGGCCCACGGACGATGAGTGTCACTTCCGGTGCTGCCCAAGGTTCCATACTCGGTCCAGACCTCTGGAATGTCGCGTATGAGAGCCTTCTGAGGTCTGAAATGCCTGAGGAAACGGTTTTGGTTGGGTACGAAGACAACGTTGCAGTTTTGATAGCTGCACGTAGCGTCGAGCTGGCTCAGCTAAAGCTGAACCGAGTTATGCGTACCATAAACGCATGGATGGCAGACCACGGTTTCTCGCTCACTTTGAGCAAAACTGAGATCATTATATTAACAAAATAACGGATTCACACCATCCCCGTTGAGGGTAGGGGCCGTCAAAGTCCAGACCGTTCGCTCTGCCAACTACCTTGGGGTTATGGTGGACAGAAATTTTAGCTGGCGGGATCAGATTTTCCGTACGGCACACAGTACCGCTAGGGTGGTTTCCTCTCTTAGCCGGTTGATGGCCAATGTCGGAGGGCCTCAGTCTAGCCGTAGAAGTCTGTTAATGTCTTCTGTCCAGTCCGTTCTCTTGTACGGTGTGGAGGGGTGGGCAGACGCTCTCAACAAGGAGGTATACAGGATGCGGCTCGCCCGAGTGCAGCGCCAGGCAGCACTAAGAGTTGCATCCGCCTACCGAACAGTGTCCGAACCCGCCGTCCTGGTGGTTGCTGGAGTATACCCGTCAATCTTTTGGCGGCGGAGAGAAAGGCAATTTATCGGTGCCGCTTTGAGGACCAGGCACGAACAGAGGAACACACCCGAACCTACCAGCTGTGGCAGGAGAGCTGGGAACAGGAGACACGGGGACGCTGGACCAGGCAACTGATACAGCAGGTCAAACCTTGGGTTAATCGGCGGTGCGGAGAGGTGGACTTCTATCTCACCCAATTTCTGACGGGTCACGGCTTTTTCCGGTCGTACTTGTTCTGGATGGGCAAAGCCATGTCACCCGATTGCATATACTGCCCAGGCATTCCCGATGACGTGGAACAAACCTTTTTCCACTGCCAGCGTTGGGAAAGGCCCCGCCTGGAGGCTCAACAGTTAGTAGGACTGCTGTCGGTGGACACGGTCATACCGATGATGACGGAGGGTGAGGAAAACTGGACCTTTGTGTTACATTACATCCAGGGTAGTTCACTACACATTACTTCTCCGTGCCATGAAGCTCGACCTTGACCAGGATGCGGCGTAGTTTATAAAGTATCTAAATACCAGAAACGGTGAGAGCCCTGAGGGCTTAGGTCACATGTTGGCCTGACTTGAAGTAATGTGACAAACAATTCCAGGTCTGTGTCCAACAGAGTAGAGGGGTTTTTTTTAGTGAGTAGTCTGTGATAAATCCAGGAGTAGTTGGTCTATGTGGACGGGCAAATGCAAGGTTAAAAGATGCCGCTATCCTCTTTAAAAATATTTATCTATACTATCTTTTTGTGCTGTACAGATTAAGAGGCAAAATACGATTTTGTAATGGATTAAAACAAAAACTAAATTGTAGAACTTTCATGGTAAAATTTTGAAAAAGGTTTCTGAAAAAGGATTTGGACAACTGTTGATAAAAAATATGTTAAGATGAACATGGTAATGTTTATTTTACCTACTCTAGTAAGATATCAAACTAACCAAAAAAAGAATGGCCAGATCTCATTTAATTACTAAATTAAAACATTGAAAAATCATTATATAAAGGTCTTGTATTGGGGTTTCTTTTTATAAACCTGTGATAAAGAGTAGAACTATTGACACTATTTCAAAGTGCTATGCTAAATTTGGATTTAAAAAATTTTATCCAGCTAAAGTATATTGCTACTTTTTTCCTATTTCATAAAATTAAGTGGTTTTCATCCTGTTATTTCTTTACCATCCTTCAGTTTGTATGATGCTTGAAATAGTATATTTCGTACCTAGGGCCGAAAATGAGGTTTTGCCGTCTCGAGTTAGTTCTTAAGTTCGAGACGAAGTCGAGAACTTAAATCGATGGAGAGCTGCAAAACCATTTCGGTCCGTGGTACGAACGCTATTTTTCACCACACTATACCCTATTACCACTATTCACCATTATAATAATAATGCACACTGATAGTCAACACAACTACAACTTTAAGGTTATGTGAAGAAATAATTTGAGGAATCAGCAAAAATAAAAATAAATAGTTGCTAGGCAACGGTGACAATAACACAATTTTTTTTGCCATGCTATGGATTTTGATTGTGTATTTAAAATGCATTCATGTTTTATGTAAGTAACCGGACAGCTGATTTTGCGGCCCCGGCCTGTAAAAACCTGCTCGGTCCCCAAATTACGATGACAGCTGGCATGGCCAGCAAAACGTATCTTTCAGCCACCAATTAACATATGTAATACAGCCAAAAACATCATAGTGTGGTGAAAAAATGTTATCTAAGTTGTTTTATTTGTAACCATTGTCCTTGATAAGCTAAATGTTTTGCACATATATTTACAAAAAAATGTGCATCCTATCGATTTTACCATTCAGAGATAATTAATATCAAAAGCGAGTAACATTAAGAGGAGAAGGAGGGGATCCGTATCTCTCATAAGTATTATCTGGAAGTGGAGATATGGTTCTTATACGAGGAATGGTTTCCATTTTGGAAGTAGATGGAGTATTTGGCCGATCAGAATAGAAGTTAGGGTTGCTCTGGCCACGGGAAACAACAATGGGATTCACAGAATCGTAGAGAGCTTGTGTGGAACGATAATTTATATCTACAACACTATTTGATGACTGGTACGCCAACGACGGCAAAGCACTTGCCAAGTGGTCCCTTACAATACCAGTCACCATTAAATATGTGCGAGGGATAAATATAGTTACTAAAAGAACAGTGGCAGTGCCAAAAAGTCCGGACACAACAAACATGTCATTGTACTCTCTGGGGAAAAGAATGTAGCCTGCAACCCAACCAAACCATACCAACATGCACAATACAGAGCTAACTGCAAAAAAGGATCCTTCATGATAGTTACGCTTTGATCTGATAATGAACGGAGATACAAAGACAAGTAACACTAATAAAAACATATCGTAACATAGTGACAGAATAAATAAGTAACCGTCAGTCATCGTATAACACTGATCTTGAGGTAAAAATCTCCAGTTTACAGCCCAAAACTGAATACTCAGACCAATTTGTACAGCTGCAATGAAAAAACATAACACAGTCTGATGATACCCATTGATATGACTCATGAAACCTCCATCCTGATCACAAGATGCGAGCATTAGACTTCTGGCCAACATTATGGAGAAAGTCAAAGCATAAGAAAGATTTGTCCCAAACAACTTCGCAGCACAAAAGACCCCTTTGTAAAAGTGATGATCATCTACTACGGTAAAAGCAAATGGAAGAATCGATCCATAAGTAAAAATTATGGAAACAAGCAAAAGAAATGAAAATGTAGGATTTCCTTCCAAAATATCCCGCTTACAAATTCGAATCAATATGAATATACCAATCGCAACGGAACATACCACTCCTACCGCTGAAACAGACACAATCGCTGCTATCCACGATTCCGATCGAAACACAACCATATTCACTAGTGTCTGACGATTTCTTTCTTCCTCAAAATAGTTTTGATAAATTTCATTATAGTTGGCACAGTCACTGCAATCGAGACCAGAGACATTTTCATTTGGAACCCTTCGGCATAAACTTGCACTGGTTTTATTTGCTTCTTCAGAGACAAAAGCCCATTCATCATGGATAATTTTGAAAGATCCAAAATGTTGGTAGAATGTAGAGTCATCAGGAATTTTGTGGTACACTGTATATCCATAAAATTCATCTGCACTCATTTGCAAGACGTTCAGGACGTAGGTGACAAGATGTGGAGTGCTCAGTATGTTCTGTGTGGTGATGTGATGTTGAGTCGGTGTAAAGGCATCACATATGGTGCTCGGAGGACAGGATGCTGCTAGATTAGATTTGAATAAATTCAGTATCTGGAAGATATCTGCAGCCATTTGAACAAGGAGTGGAGCCTGAATAGCTTCTGCCAATTTTGTGGAATTTTCAAGGTCTGGGACTTCAATCAGGGATGGGACAAGAGTATATGTCTCACGTGGAAGTCGATCTGAAAGCAGAAAATTATACAGTAAATACAGGGAAATAATATTACTGTACAAATTATAATTGTAATACAACAGCATTCAAAGAATATTATGAATAAATATCATTAGAGTGTTCAGGTATTTGGTGATCATATTTTACCTGGCATAACAGTGAAAATATCCTTCTTCATAAAAATTATTACAAAAACACAACATGCTATAGTATGAAGACTTTCTCGAATACACTAACCCTCACTTTACGGGATCCAGCAGAAACATGTAAACTTTCGTGTTTATTCCAAATGATTCTTTAAATAAGCAAAATGTTAAAATATACTCGGAGTCGCCTTATGTAGTGCGGGGCCCTGTGCAAACGTTCAAAAGGACCCCTAACTACTACAAAAGGTCTCCCTCCCCCCATCAACATATTTGTTGCTCATGCTCATAGGATGATAAATCAAAATCATTACAATCGTGGCAACATCTGCCATTATCTTTTACAATCACAATGGATATATTTTTATCAAACATGACAAACTTATTAATTCCCAGATAGCAAGGACCCTTGATTCAAGGTAAACTTTTCCCTACAATTTGCATTCACAATTCAAGGTTGCAAATATTAGGAACATTGTGGCTGGATTCAAGGACAACAAAATACTGCCCTTTTTGAGTTCATAGATTCCGCCCTGAAACAGAGTCAACAAAACAACAGCGCGAATTCCCATGATGCAGTTCGACCAAGCGACGCCAGCCAGACGCCAGGATCCACCCCTAAACAATCCTAACCTCTTTGTCTTTGTCTTTGTGTGTCTTGTCAGTTTGTCTTTTTGCGACGTTTGTTTCTCGCGTTATTACTATATCAGAGTTTTTAGACATAAAGTATTCATATTGAAGTTAGTTTTTGTCAATTTTCAATTTCTTTGTTCATAGTTAATTCCATAGTGTTCGATTTTAGAAGACTAACTGCAACAAAAGTGCTTGTGAGCCAACGAAACATAAAGGTGAGTCAGCTAATCTTTTTATTGTATTCATAATATTTTTTCCATTCTTATGATAAGATATTTGTGTTAGAATGCTAATCATACTGACATTAGAACCTCAAGTTACAAATGCTCTGAAAATTATCTTACAACAATAAACTGCCAAATTTGGACTAGGATCCAGAATAATTCTAGGCCTGTGCTTGCCCTAGGCCTCATGACTGGTGAATTGTTTTTTAGTTGGCCTAGAAAGTATTGTGATCCGTTGGAATATTGTATCTGGAATTGTTCAAGACCTAGTTACTTATTTTTGCCAAATCCGGTGGGCTACAATATTATGAACACACAAGCCAATATGTAACTTAATGATGCAGTTTTTTATCAGCGTAGATTGTCTTAAGTTATCATAGGCCGAAGTTATGAAGTTTCATTTAAGAATGAAGAAATGATTTTCGATGGATTGGATAAATAGACCTAGGCCTATAGAAAAATATTTTAATTTAGCTTAGGCCTATGTCTTAACCCTTAATTTGGCAAACAAATATTTTTTTGAAAACTACTTTTTCCTTGCAATATTTTAATCAAAAGGGTCCAAAGGAACATCAAAAAAATAATTTTAAAATTCTTCTAAGTATTTTTCATAATTTTTTCATTTGTGCCATTTTTGGCACTTTGCCAAAGATGCGGAGATTTCTCTAGGAATCTTATGTTGAATTAAATACAACAAGTGTATCTGTATAGCACTTAAATATAAACTTTAGGGTTTGAATAAGTCGACATTATCACATATTGGATATCAAAATTGTATAACTGTAATTATATGTAAGATATAAAAAAATCAATTTCTCCACAAAAGTTATCAATCCAATATAAAATGGTATAAACGTCATTATAAAAAATGAACTAAAATGTATACACATGTAAAACTTCTACAAAAATATGTGATTACAATAGAAAATACATTATTATATAATTTATTGATATTTCGTTAGTCATGCCCATTAGGAAAATCGTTTGACATTTCATTAGAGTATGTCCATCAAGAAACGTCATCTACTTTTGGTGAAACCCCACAAAACAATTGCTATTTTCTTTGAGTTACAGCCTCGCATTGCCCTTTGAACACTTTATCGACGATTTTTTATTTTTGCAAAATCTGCATCCTCCTCTTGATGTATACAAAGAAAGGGTAGTGTCCAACACCATCAAAGCGTACATCTTCAACATACATCAGATCAGCTGGTGTGAGAAGAAGTAAATCCTCGTCTTTTAGAACTTGTCTTTTACTCCTTTCTTTGGTTAGCGATTCAAAAATCCCATAACTAAAAATTTTTAGTGACATATTGTTTTGCTGGTTTTCAGTTTAATTATTTTCAACGTGGCAGCAATGCGTTATTCCACGATATGTCGATACAGTGAGCAAATATTTGTAAGTACCAAAGTCTTTATCGGAATGCACACTCAACTTTCATATAAGAATATTCGAATTTAGCAGGAAATAAAATTCTTTTTGGTAGATATTTGTTGCCATGGATGGTCGGGATTTTTGTAAAGCCAAAGTCTTTTCCAAACAGCCTAGTGAAAAATCTTTCCTCACAAAAACATTTTTATTTTACAATTTGTGCAAATAAAGAGACATACATTTACAAATATAAATACCTTTCACTGTTTTATTAACAGTGTGCCACTTTAGGCGCGCTCAATAAATTAAAAAAAAATAACTGCATCTTTGGTAATGTGCCATTTTTGGCACGCCCAAAAATTTTCATTGTTCCCTGGTTCTTTGGCAATGTGCCATTTTTGTCACACTCAAATTGTTTAGTTTATAAAAAAATCAATATTCATATTTAAGCTAATTACTGACCTGGGTTATGTTTTCTCATCTTTAATCTGTGCAAATCACTTAGATATATAAGTAAACAGCCTAAAATATTGAAATAAGAAGTAATTTACTAACCTTCTACACTAAGCCTCCATACTTCCTTTTCTATATGTTGGTCTAAAGTGATAGTAATTTTCAAAACATCCACTATAGTGCGCTAAACCATAATAGCAATAGGCAAAGAACCTTTGGACGCCGTTTGTTGGAATTAAAAAGTTAGCGAACGTGACATTTTTTTGAATCCTCATGTGCCAATAATGGCACGCTGTCAAATTAAGGGTTAAGTTATAGACTTGGTACTGTAGCCTAGGTCTAAGGGCTTATCCTAGTCCTATGTCCTGATGCTAGGGTTTTTCGGCAAACGTTTAGATGGGTTAAGATTAGCATCTCTCAAAGATTTTAAGTTTTGTACCTGTACGCCATACCCATTGATTAAACTAAGTAAAGGTAGGCTACCGTAATGAACTAATTTAAAACAACCTTCTACAAAATGTCACTTGACTGGAGACCTGCCATTTTGGTTTTATGTAGCTGTTAACTTTAAATCATATCCTGGTAACTTGTGCCTATTTAAGTTACTAAAGATGTATATTGCCCATGCTGTAAGTTGTAAAGTTATTGTAACAAGGTTACCTAGGCTGCTGTGTTATTTTTCAAATTAACTAATTAGCTTCAGCGAACACAGATTTGAAACAAGTGGCTTGCCGTTTGAACAAACGTTACAAGATGAGTTGCCATCTTGCTTTACATCAAAATTTGCAGAATTTAGAACTGTAATTTAGACATTATTATGAATAACTTGGTCTGTGTGCTGCAATTTAACTTACGGTACCGGTATTAACAATTTTGGAAAAATTCTGAAATTTTCTGCTTTAAATAAACCTTACCATTTGTAGGCCTATAGTTTTTAAATTTTATTGATGATTTGTAATTTAAAACAAAAAATATTAATAGCCTAAATCATAACTTAATATTATTAAAACCTTAGAGTAAGAAAGTTAGTAGGTTAAACTTACTAAAACTTTCGTTTGTTGGTCAAATAAAAATTCACTTGGAAGAAAGTTGTTTAAAAAAAAATAATGCCAGACTTATGGTTTACTTCTTTTTCCATCTTGCTTAATTTAGCCAGAATTTCAGGTTGAACAGAGAGGCAAGACCATTGAACGAGTCTAAACTAATTTTTTTGTACTTGATTCATTTGGTAAATCCCACTGTACACCCCTGAAAACACACACTGACCAATTATGTCTATTCTGTACTTTACTACAGAAGTGAGATTGTCAAAGCTAGTTTGTTAAATACAAATACATGGCATATTCTCTCTAAAAGCTGATTGTTTTGTATTTTTCTTCCAATACTAGCTGTAACCCGCGGGCTTTGCCCCGTTTAACTTCTTAATTTTCAAGATGATCTCGTTCGCATGGCTCAATCACGTCCTGGTTGAAGTTTGTTCGCTACGCTCACTCACCTTTAGATTGGAGCTCGTTCGCTACGCTCACTCACCTTTAGGTTAGAGCTCGTTCGCTGCGCTCACTTGCCTTCAGGTTAGCTCGTTCGCTACGCTAACTCGCCTCCAGGATGAAGTTCGTTCGCTACGCTCACTCACCTTTTGGTTGCAAATTAGCTGTTGTCATAAATGTAAAAGAAATAATAGTGCTGCACCCTCTTGGTAATCCTTGTAACTTTAATGCTATTAAACATCATAGAACAGAATCAACTTGTTTAATTGAAACAGCTGTTAAGATTCATTAATTCCATTTCTCATAAGGTTAACATGGGAAACTCCAGAGCCACTGGGGCGGAGCCCAGAGGTCGGAGGGTAAGATCCTTTCTTAGTGATCGTCTACTACCCAAAAGGATGATGCCTGCCAAGATTCAGGTTCCTAGGTCTTATGGTTTCTGAGATTTCGTGATGAGTGAGTGAATGAATGAGTCAGTGGTATTTGAGCTTTATATAGATTTGCATAACAAATTCTTTTGTTATTGTTATCTATTATGAGGCGTTTCACTTAAACTGTTTCAGTTGTAGCCAAGAGATTGTTGGCTGAAGCCACTGAATTGAAAGTAAAAAAAAACTGCATCCGTGCATGGCTGTGACAAGCCAAATTTAGGGCCAGTACCTAAAAGGTTTGTAGAGCATATTAGTTATAGAACTGTTTATTTCATAAGGTTTACTTTTGTTGTTACAGTAGAACCTCGATAGTTCGACACTCCCTGTAGTTCGACACAGGCCGTGATGACAAGACATGGCATCAGTGGCCGATGACGGGTTCACCAAGGTTAAAAACTAGAGCATTCTTAGTGTTTTCGTGCATGGAAAAACTCAATAGGTAGCCTACTTAAAATATCCCATTAACTTACATTTTTTCTAAGATCCAAAGTGTAAAAAGCATGTGACGTAAATTATGAGGGGCGAATAAGATTGTATTTACTGAGCAGCCTACCCCTAGTACCAGCCACGCTCAAATTTCTTCCCCGGGGTGCTGAGAAGGATTCACGGTTTTGACTGATTAATTATTTTAATTTAATCTAAGGTTCAGAGCTCTAGAAGCGCTCAAAAGATCCTGCAGACGCCCAGGAGGAGAGCAATATCATCCTCGCCTTTGTTAAAATGTTATTGCAAATTTTGCCTAACTTTTAGAATAACTGTAGGACAGACGAGTACTCTACCCTGGCCAATTCGATAAAACTACCTACTCGTTTAAACTGTTGCAACAACGGGTTTTAGAATTCTAATAACAAGTCTCGGGTTTGTTAATTTGGTTTATTAGTATAAGGAACATACAAGGGTAGTTTTTCAAGTAAGAGCCAGTTTCTGCGTATAAATCCATAATTCGCTTAAGTACGCTGCAGCAAGGCTCCTCGCCACTTGCTGGTATCATTTGTGAACAGAATGACACAATTTGCAGCTCTGTAGCTGACATGTACCTACATTTCGCTGTGTGTTTCAACAATTTTTTAGACTTTTTGTCCCCGTACGCTAGGCTGGAGCCCGGGATTGTTTTTCACATTACTTCAGGCTAGACCTAGGGGTTACGGCATTATCACTTAGTTAAAATCCATTGGTGATTTGGCAGGATTTGAACCCTGGACCCCAGGAACCGGAATGACCGCGCTCTAACCACTAGACCTGCTCGCTCCCCAATTTTTTAGACTATTGATAATGTCAATGATAATCAGGGCCGGAGAGAGCCATCATGGGCCCCTGGGCTCAGCGATCCTGGGCCCCCTATTTACTTGATTTAGTGTCCAGCCGTCTCCGTGCCGTTTTGTCACACAAATAACTATATTAATAAATGTTTGCTCACAGTTTCAGCTTTAATCACAGTCAAAACAATTCAAGTAAAAAATTACTTAGTGAACTGGAAAACCATGCTGAAATTTTTAACTCAAGCAGATTACATGTACAGAAAAAATTTAAAAAAAAATTAGATAAAACATACTCCCTTAGTCGATACTTTATGATTTTTTTTGTTGCAGGAAAAGAGGAGTTATTGGTGCACAGAATAGGAACATCAGGCTGAGGTTATGCGACAGTAAATAATGTATAAGTAAAATGTCACTTAATTTAACTCATGTTCTAATTTTCAAGTTTGTTTTATACTTTATATTTTCATAAAATAAATTTACTATAACCAATGTCACTTGCTACATTTTATTTATACCCCCACAAATAGTGATATTTTGGCTATGTTTGAAGAACTGTTTTGAACTTTTAAACTTTTTGTTGATCACTGAGATGTCTTTTCTAAAGCAGGGTCTGGTGTAATTTGATGAGGCCTTATTAAAAATTAAATGCTCCCACCCTTCACTCACAAGCTTGGCAGAATAGGCTTATTATTTTTAACCTAACTCAGTTATCCTATACAACATTTAAATAAAGTGTTATAGCATCATTTATAGGTTTCTAGCTGCCCCTCCCCTTGGGCTTCACAACAGAATTGAAAAATTTTCTTTGCTACAAACAGTTGTTTTGCATTGGTTTTGCTTAGAATTTTCCTAACAGCGGTTTGGTAGCTAATACAATTAAACGAAAGTTCTGTCAAAAGAAAAATATGTTAACATTGTAATTTTAAAGCCAGTGAGCCAGAGCCCTGATGGAATCTCTCAAAGCTACTTCGTGTACATATTAAGTGAAACCTATTATGGAGGTTAAGTGAAACCTCCATGCCACCAAGTTCTGAGTACATATGCATGGTAGTTTTTGAGGAATAGTGATCAATGAGTGAGTGAGTGGTAACTGTATTATAATATAGATTATAAGGTCAAATTATGTATCCACCCAAAGTTTTCTGCGTAGATTAAAGCTTAAGGTAATGTACCTTGCGTTTAATATTTTAAGGCTTAACTTACTGCCATAAAGCAACCAATATTTTGATGTCCTAATAGATAGCTGTCCCCGCGCTTAGTAGGCATCATTAAAGTTCTTGAGTTCACAAAGACAAAACAGCTAGACTATCCACTAGGACATTAAAATATTGGACTACTTTAAGACCGTAAGAATGCCGTAAGTCAAGTAAAATTCCTTGTCAGTCAATCACTTGTTACTGTATGTACTGAGTTGATCATGATTATGCTTTTATTTAACCCGAATTCAACAATATATTTTGATTTCAGCCAAAAATCTTTACCTTGAATTAACCTTAAATTTTCAGGTTATGAGTCCTGAATTGACCATGATTTTACCTTAATTTAAACATACTTATACCTTAATTCAACCTCAATTCAGCCTTGATTATGCATTACTGCCAGAAACGTTTACCTTGAATCAACCTAAAATTTTCAGGGTTGATTCAGGTTTCACAAGTGTTCAGTAGGACCCTTGAATTAGCCCTGAATTAGGCTTGATGGCTTGATATTTTAAGATTAATTCAGGCTTGCATCTTTGAAAGTTTAACCTTGATTTAATACTGAATCAGGAAAAAATTGCTATCTGGGTTTTATACCAAGCTATTAATATTTTACTAAAACACACATAATTAGATTCAGTATCCTTGTAGCAGCAAACCTAGGTACTCGTTAAACCTAATGTTATTTAATTAGATTTAATTGATAATTATTCAGAGAAATGGAGATTCGCTTAGTCGGCAGGTTTGCGGCGGCTGGGGTATTAATATCAATTTGTTGTTTGTTTTTGGCATAGCGTGGGGCTCCCTAAGGTGTGGGGGCCCTGTGCGGCCGCATCTTTCACACATGCCTAAAGCCAGCTGATAAAAAGTAAATCACATTTAACTTTATTAACTTCTAGACTTCTATCATAATTTCATTGTTACCTGATTTGAAGTTTACCTCCCCATCAAGAGGTATGAGGAGAAGGTTTGAGTATGGGCTTATTCGCAAACTATTCTCCAAGTCGGGCCAGCGAGCTATCACAACTATGTTACCTTCTGGTATCTCTAGCCTATAAAACACATAAATGCCGTAAGACTCATACGATTTAACAAGTAACAAGTTCTAAAATATGTTTTAATACAAGCTATTCTAGCTATACTGTAATATATTCTCATTCAGATGATCTTATTTATTAAAACATGAAGTATTTCTCCCCAAAAATTCTGAATCAACCACTTGATACGTTTTCATGATTCTTCTTTTGTAGGTAATAATATAATTTTAAGAGGAAGGGAATGTCAAAGCAATATGTTAATTTTGTATTTCAGTTTTTTTAAGTTACCGTCACCCGACAAAGTTGGCTTCCTTGTACTGTTTATAGTACAGAAAGCTGCTAATTGCTGCATATTTATACTTTGCCGTACGGTTTATACTTTGTCGTACGGTTTATACTTTGCCGCACATCAGGATTCCAACGAAACCACACAAAACAGCGTGGTTCTATTATGCACGTAATCCGTGTACGCTTGGAAATAGGTTGGCAACACTTAAAGATAATAATACTATGAGCAGCTGATTGACTATTATAACTACGATTTAACCTGTCATTTCGTGTTTATAGTTTCGGTATTTCTGAACTTTCTGGACTTTACTTTTATACTTTTTTAAAACATTCCTACGATCTTAATAAACAAGAAAATACCTTTAAAGCATTTTTTTAGGTGCGGAAACCACTTCAAATTACAAAAACATACGGAACTATATTCTCAAAACGCGGAGCACATTTCTTGCCGAGGAAAAATAGCGGAGTAATACGGACCGGGTACTACTTTCTCTAGGGCACCTACCTGCTGAACCTAAAAACGTAATGTATAGTGTTTGAAAGACTAATTATTTATATGTTTTATAGTGAATGTAGGAAAAATATAATGTGTAACACGAGTGCATTGCTCTCGTGTGCAGCAAAGTGCCACTTTGCCCACTAGTTACACAAATAACTATTTCATTCTTTGTGAAAGACTTTGTGAAGGTGGAGAAGGCCCAAAGTAGCTCTTTTATCCCTAGGGAGTAAACATAAGCTTTATCTGATGATGTCAGCAGTACACCTGTTGACACCTGTTAACTTAGTTAACTATTAACTATAGTTTGACAAATCCATATCTACTGATAGTAATGGACTCAAATAGAATATTAATGGACAAAATGATTCAAAATTGCTAATTCACAATAGCACAATTAAAAAACAAGATGGAAGTTATTTTGGGAGCTTATCTTCATGAAAAGTATTATAGTTTTGTTACTTAATTCGATTAAATAATGTTGCAATATGACAAAAAATATGGTTCATCACATAGGCAAAGTGTCTTTTCAATCCTCGCTTATTTTCCATTTTCATTAATTTTGAGCTCCTTTTTTAAAAGAGTCACTTTACACCCTAGTGATGAAATAAATATATTTACATAAAAATATAATATAACTAGCAGAGTACCCGTCCTTCGTACAGGGTTGGCATAAGTATAAAATGCTTTTTTGCAGTTTTACTCAAGCTTTGCGTTTGCAATGAGGGAGGACACAGTTTGATAAAATTTGCTTCTTTAAATTTACAGTATTCTATAGTATTACACATCTACCATAGACATATTGTTCTACCACTTCACCTAAACAATAGAGAAAAATAAATTATCAACAATTCGCAAAATATCACAAATTATTCATGAAATTAAAAACATAAACATAACTGTAAAGAATCCTACTTTGACAGTTATTTCTCCTAACGTATCACAGTTTGTTGCTGCTTAGTTCAAATTAGCTGTTTTCATAAATGCAAAAAAATATAGTTCTGCACCCTGTTGGTAAATCTTAAAACTTTTTAATGCTTTTGTGTATCATAGAACCATCTTTTTTAGTTGAAACACCAGACTAAATTCTTTAATTCCCTTTAAATATGAATACTCATAAGGTTAACATGGGAAACTACAGAGCCACTGGGGCGGAGCCCGAAAGGATTTTTGGTATAAGAATATGCCTATATGTTAATCGGGAATGTGAGCTATCATCATTCCAAATTTCAGCCCAATCCGTCCAGTTGTTAATGCGTGATTGAACTTCAAACAAACAAACACACAAACTTTTACATTTATAATATTAGTAAGATAATGAAATATATATAATTTTGGATATCACACAATTAGATAGTATCACTAACAGCAACAGCTTAAGGTAACACAGTAGTCAAAAATAAAAAAAATAAATATTTTTTTATAATTAATTTTAGTTTTAAATTTTATCCTAAATCCATAGATACCAAATATGTTATATAATAAAATTTATTTGATAGATTTTTGTCATTTATTATAAATCTTGCACAGCTGTTTCAGTGATCGCATGACATCGCCTAAGGCTTTATATGCAAAAATAAAAAAATAAAATATATTTTTTTATAATAGATGAGTGAACGAAGTTCACTCATCTATGTATCGTGTATAGCGGAGTCGGGGAAAAGTTGTCCGCTTGTCTGTGAGTGATTCCGTGAATGTGTTCGCGTCAAATCTCAAGAACCGTTGCACTTATAGCGTTCAAATTTTGCACACATAATTACACACCAGTGGGAATACCCCATTAAAATTCTAGACGGTTCCGCTCAGTAGTAATTATAAAACCCTAAAAAAACATTTTTAAATTCGTCCCATAAGAATAACATTAGAAGCTACCTTCTTCTTCTTTTTATTTGTTTACGTTTTGCGACCAACAATTTTGTCGTCTACTTAAGACAGAGAGAACGACTTATCCTCTAAGCTCTTTCATTCATGGAGTAAAGAGTTTGACGTTTATGAATATATATGACATCATAATTTCACAACTTTCAGAATAATAAATTGAACTTTACTATATTAGTCGGCAGTTATACAGTTTTATGTTCAGGTCAATTCACATTTGCACTGCAAATGTATATATTTTGTACTAGCAGCTATTTACTTAATTCAATTTAATGTTGGCATTTACTATTAAATAGTCAAAGATGTTAGTCCATTTTTGTACTAAAATGCTATGCGAAGGGGGGGGGGGGAAACAGGTCCACGACGTAGGAAGTGGTGAAGGAAGTAGTCGAGGTGAACAGTCTGGAGTGTGGGAACCCTTTATGACAGTTAGAATAATGTACCTGCAATACTAAAGTACTATGGGAAGGGAGGGGAACAGGTCCACGACGAAGGAAGTGATAAAGGAAGTAGTCAAGGCGAGGGTGCGGAGTATGGGAAGCCTTTGTGACAGTTAAAATAATGTATCTGGAATTCTCGAAATGCCATAGGAAGGGATGGAAACAGGTCCACGACGATGGAAGTGGTAAAGGAAGTAGTCAAGGCGAGCAGTCCGGAGTGTGGGAACAGTTTGTTACAGTTAGAATAATATGTATCTGCAATTCTGAAATGCTACGAGAAGGGAGGAAAACAGGTCTACGACGTAGGAAGTGGTGAATTAAATGAAGTGTTAAAGGTGAGCAGTTTGGAGTGTGGGAACCGTTATTGGCAGTTAGATTAATATATTTGAAATACTAAAATGCGATGGAAAGGGAGGGAAACAGGTCCACGACGTAGGAAGTGGTGAAGGAAGTAGTCAAGGCTAGCAGTCCGGAGTGTCGGAAACCTTTGTGACTGTTAGATTAATGTACCTGCAATACTAAAATGCTATGGGAAGGGAGGGAAACAGGTCCATGACGTAGGATGTGATAAAGGAAGTAGTCAATGCGAGAAGTGCGGAGTGTGGAAACCCTTTGTGACAGTGGGATTTATGTATCTGCAATACTAAAATGCTATGAAAAGGTTGGGAAACAGGTCCACTACGTAGGAAATGATGAAGGAAGTAGTCAAGGCAAGCAGTGTGGAGTGTGGGAACCGTTGGTGGCAGTTAGATTAATGCAACTGCAATACTATGCAGGCTCTGGAAAGGGAGGAAACCGGTCCACGTCATAGGAAGTGGGGAAGGAAGTGGTAAAGGCGAGAAGCTCTTAGTGTGGGAACAGTTTGTGGCAGTAAATGTACATGCACTACTAAAATGCTGAGGGAAGGGTGGGAAACAGGTCCACGACGTAGGTAGTGGCGATGGAAGTGGTAAAGGCAAGCAGTTCGGAGTGTGGGAACCGTTTATGGCATTTAGATTCATTAGTTAGATAAACATATATTGGATTATTAATCATTTTTAGGTGATATAATAGCGCTATCGTTAGTATGTGTTATATATCATCATTATAAGCCATACGATATTTTTAAGAAGACTCCTTTACACCGTGCTGTCACAATTAGGTTAAGTTAGATTCGTTCAGTTTGTTTTAGTTTTGTTTATGATAGGCCTCATAACAAATAAGGAAATAGGCTTCATTTAATCAAAAGACGTTTTGTACAGGAACGATGGATTTACCTCCTATCGATAACTGTTGGAAATCCATTACGTATATTACCAATGACTTTGGTTAAGTAATGGACGAGAAGTTAGGATTGTGTTGACTGAGATTTGGTTGATTTGCCTATACAAATAACACTGTGTTCACCAGTGACCCCGGTAAGTAGGCTAAGTGCGGATGGACTCTTCCATTGTTGCGCTCACGTTCACTCATCCCATTACGCGCAGAATAAGCGTACTACTAGTTAATTCTAGTTTAAAATTTTATCCTGAATCCATAGATACCAAATCCTACTAATATTATAAATGAGAAAGTTTGGATGTATGGATGTATGGATGTATGTTTGTGACAAGTGAACGCGAAAAATACTGGTCGGATTGGGCTGAAATTTGGCATGATGATAGCTCACATTCCCGATTAACATATAGGCATATTCTTATTTCAAAAATCCTTTCGGGCTCCGCCCCAGTGGCTCTGGAGTTTCCCATGTTAACCTTATGAGAAATGAAATTATTGAATCTTAACAGCTGTTTCAATTAAACAAGTTGGTTCTGTTCTGTGATGTTCAATAGCATTAAAGTTACAAAAATTACCAACAGGGTGCAGCACTATTATTTCTTTTACATTTATGACAACAGCTAATTTGCAACCAAAAGGTGAGTGAGCGTAGCGAA